GATGAGATGACCTAAGCACAGAGAGGTTGCGTAGCTTGCTCAGAGTCACACAGCCAACTGCAGACTGTGCTATAACAGAAATCCTGCTCCAAGTCAACTGTACCTCTTTCCAAAGTATGGATTTTCCACTATAGTTATAATTTGATTGTAAACACTTCTCCAAGGTCATTGCTACACATCAAATTTTTTTTTTTTTTTTTTTTTTTTTTTTGGGCCAGATGTCTTTTTTGTTATTGATTTTTTTTTTTTTTTGGTTGTGTTAGGTCTTTGTTTTTGCCAACAGGCTTTCTCTTATTTCGGCAAGTGGGGGCTCCTTTTCGTTGTGCTGCGAGGGCTGCTCATTGCTGTGGCTTCCCTTGTTGCGGAGCATGGGCTCTAGGGCTTCAGTAGTTGCGGCATGTGGGCTCTAGAGCGCAGGCTCAGTAGTTGTGGCGCACGGGCTTAGTTGCTCCACAGCATGTGGGATCTTCCCGGACCGGGGCACGAACCCATGTCCCCTGCATCGGCAGGCGGACTTTCAACCACTGCGCCACCAGGGAAGCTCCACATCAATTTTTTTTAAAACAGCTTTATGAGATATAATTGACATGGAATAAAATGCACATGTTTAAAGTACAATTTGATATGCTTTGAGATAGGCAAACACCTGTGAAATCACTCTTGCAATCGAGATAGTGATCAGATTCATCACCTAAAGTTTCCTCATACCAAGGGACTTCCTCGGTGGTCCAGTGGCTAAGACTCTGTGCTCCAGATTCAGGGCACCTGGGTTCAGTCCCTGGTCAGGGAACTAGATCCCACATGCTGCAACTAAGTTTCCTCCTGCCGAATACCTCCCTCCTGCTCCTGTCGGCCACACTCAGCCAGGCAACCACTGATCCGCTGTCACTACAGTTTGCATTTCCTAAAATTTTATGTAAACGACTGGCATCTTTCCCTCAGCATAAATATTTTGCATAGAGAACATTTACCAAGATAGACCATAATCTGGGCCATAAACCAATAAATTAAATAAAAGGATTCAAATCATGCAAACTATGTTCTCTGACCACAGTGGAATTAAATATTAGAAATCAATGACAAGGGCTTCCCTGGTGGCACAGTGGTTAGGAATCCACCTGCCAATGCAGGGGACACGGGTTCGAGCCCTGGTCCGGGAAGATCCCACATGCTGTAGAGCAACTAAGCCCGTGCGCCACAACTACTGAGCCTGCGCTCTAGAGCCCACATGCCGCAACTACTGAAGCCCTAGAGCCCATGCTCCGCAACAAGGGAAGCCACAGCAATGAGCAGCCCTCGCAGCACAACGAAAAGGAGCCCCCACTTGCCGCAATTAGAGAAAGCCTGTGTGCAGAAACAAAGACCTAACACAACCAAAAAAAAAAAAAAAAATAAATAACAAAAAAGACATCTGGAAAACCTCCAAATATTTGGAAACTAACACATTTATAAATTACCCATGGGTCAAAGAAGAAATCAAAAGGAAAATCAGAAAATTATTTATTTACTTTAATAAACATGTATACAGCGGTTACTGTGTGCCAGGCCCTGTCTTGGGCCATTTCCAAAAACGGAATGTGCTAATTTAGGCCTCATAACAACCCTATGAGGAAGACACTTTCACACCCATTTTTCGGACGCTGAACCCAAGGCACAGAGGGAGTAGGTGACTTGCCTGGGTCATGCAGATAGGCAGTGGCAGAGCTGGGATTTGAATCTGGGACACCTGCATCCAGGGTCCGTGCCTTGTGTCCCACTTTATCAATGGAGGGACACTGAAAGGTTTCAAATGGTAGAGAAAAATGATCAGATTCCTGACAGCAAGATCACTTTGGGATGAGCTCAACAAATATTTAGGAGCTAAATCTGCAGGACTTGGAGATGTATTAGAATAGTGTTGAGAGAGGAGACGGCTGGGTGCAAAAGAAGTGAGAGTGGACGGCAGGGCTGGAGGGCTCAGCAGTGCCCATGCCAGGAGGGAAGGGGCCCCCACATCCTGAGGACCTGTTTCCATCAGGGGATGGGCGGGGCCTGGTAGAAAGGTAAGATGGTGGTGCGCAGGGGTCCCTAAGGAAATTCTTGCGGAAGGTCCACTAGAACACTGAGAGGGGACGGTGTTTCAGGTGGAAGGAAGGGTGTATGCACGGTGCTGTGGGGCAGCTTGTGGAGTCAGGTTTAAAAGGAGAGCGATGCGGAGCACAGCGGGAACTGAGCACCGGTGGGCGGCAGGGGCACCCACAAGGCCTGGCAGGCCTGGGTAAGGAGCTGTCTTTCTCTCTGGAGTGACGGGGCGTCAGCCAGTGTCTGGGGAGTGTGTGCAGGAGGGGACTGACGGGGCCAGATCTGGGCTCTCACAGCTCACCCCAGCTACAGAGTGGAGACACACCAGAGCAGAGGCAGGAAGCAAGCAGTCTGGCGGCTACGGAGGGCTTCCAGGTGAGCGGCTTCCAAGCACTGGGGGAGGGGTGGGGGACGCGGATGGAGGAAAGTGGACAGACTCAAGAGGTATCTAGGAGATAGAAGTGGCAGGGACCACGCCAGGTCCCCTGCGGGGATGCCTGGGGTTCTAGAAGGTGGTGGGATAGTCATCTGGCTAGTGAGCCCTGGAAGAAAGCCAGGTAGGTGGGGGAAGTGAGGTCAGCACCCGAGTCTGGAGCTGGAAGAGGGCCAGCGAAAGGCCAGGGGGAGAGGACGAGTCTAAAGAGGGTGCAGCGAAGGAGCAGCGGGGATGAGGGAAACCCCAGCGTGCTGCTGGTGTAACCAAGCGGAGGGGTCGGGAGGGCACCGGCGGTTGGTGTGGAACCGGTCCCAAACGTCTGGAGGGATGAGACCAAAAGGATCCTTGTACTCAGCGACTGAGGTCGACAGGCAGGCAGGCAGGCAGGCGAGAGCCGGAGCGCAAAAGGATTTGGAAGAAGGGTGTTAAGGCCGGAGCTTGCTGGGAAACCCTGGCTCCCCAAGCGGCCTCTGGAGGAGGGGGGAGAAAGCTCCAGAAACCGAGAATTTCACAGCCGGGGCCTTGAACGGCTCATCTACAAGAAATCTTACACCTCCCGGGCAGTGGCCCGAGTGGAGTGGAAAGAAGCGGGCCGGGCCTCCGAGTCAGGAGAACAGGAGGGCGGCTGCCGGGCTACAGGAAGGGAGCCCTTGCGCGGCTGACAGTGGCAGTGGCGACAACGAAACTTCAGCGCTACCACCCCATCTCCCCTCCCCCGCTCCCTCTCCTCTTCCTCCCCCCTGCCCGCCCCCAGCCCAGGCCGCAGGGAAAACCCGGGCCGCCGGGAGCTTCCACACACAGCTGGGGCCAGAAACACATTTTACAACGCACCCCAGCGAACGCTAACAACCCCCATCTACCCTCACCACGTGGCTGGTAGTTTCCAGTCTATTTTGCCTGTTTTAACGCTAGTCAGGACGCCCTGCGTCGATTTCACTGCCTCCTGAAGAGTCTCCAGCCCCAGCGGAGAACCCTGTTGCTGGAAAAGCTGGGTTTCTCTGGAGACTAGGAAGTGGAGGGAGTCGTCAGTCAAGTTTGTTTACAAGCTATGGAGCTTCCAGATTGTTCGGGGGGGGGGGGCAATGGTGGGAGGAGTTAGAGACAAAGGAGCCAGGAGGAGGGGGAGGGTTTACCGGGAGAGGCCTGGGCGGGGCAGGGGTGCGCTGCCGGGCGAGCCTCGGTTTCCTCAACGGTGAACAGCCCCCCGCCCCCGCTTATTGACCTGGGTGAAGCCCAAAGACGCCACCCCGCCTCCAAAATTCTTCCGTGATCTGGCACTATTCTAAACACGTTTGGAACTCCCATTTACAAATTGGCTTTTAAAGCAAGTTAATCACCCAAACCATGAATTACATACTTCGTATGGAAACCTCAAACTACACAAAAGAGTTAAGTAAAAGAGATGAGCTTTACAAAATCATGATGCGCGTAGCTGGGTCAGTTTGCATGGTCACCACGTCCCGGAATTCCAGACTAGGGCCCGCAACGCGTCGAAGGATACGGTTTTAAAACAAACCCAAAGTAGGTACAAGTCCCCAAGGGACTGAGCAAGAGCTGGGAGAATTCCGTATTTTGTGTCCGTTTCAACATTTCTTCCTCGTCGCAGCGGGGCCTAAGGACAGGACCAGTCCCCAAATACTGAGCGGTGGCCTGCCTTGAGGTGGGGTCTATAGCGATGTGTGGGGAAGCCCTCGTTCCCCATCCCACCTCAGCTTCAGAAACAGCCGCACGGGAGCCCCACGAAGCCCAGGGGTCCCCTTTGCTCCCCATGCACATGCGCGGGTCACCCCTCCCTCACACACCTCTGCACCCTACACCCAGGCCGGAGCCCCGGGCCTCTGCATAATGAAGGTCTGGCAGGCACCTGTTGCCATAATTCCTGTACCCTGAACCTATAATCGCTGACCCCGGCCAAAAAGCGCGCCCCGTACCTCCCGACCCGGCCCTAGACGCCCAATCGCTGCCCCGGGCCCCCAAACCCCTAACCGTGGCTCTGAGCCTCCGATCAGTGCGCCGGGCGTATACATGTGACACGTGACCGGACCCCTCACCCCTGCTTCGATTTCCTACATGCGGCCTCAAGGCCCCAAACCTAGCCCCAGGCCCCAGTTTCGGGCCCTGACGGTGGAGGACCCGAAGCTTCCACAACCTGGGTACACGTTGTAACCACCGACAGTTTACTTTTCTGCACTTCACAGAGCCGCGAGCACGGGCACTCAGCCCCCGGGCACTCAGTCCCCGGTCGCACTCCCCGCGGCCTGGACAGGGGTGGCGGTTCACCAGGGCGGCCGTTGGGCCGACGCGCGCCGAGCAGGGGTCGTGGGGCCGGGGCCGACGGCGCGCATAACGCAGCAGGCGCGGGGGGCAGGGCTGAGGGTGATGGCCCCGGAAGGCGCGAGACCTTCCCGAGAGCTCCGGCGGGCGGCGGCCGTGGGGGGCGGGGCGCGAGGGCGTGGGGCCGCGCGGGCCCAGGGTAGGGACGGGCGGCGTCCAGGGCGCAGGCGCAGGCGCGCGGCCGCGGCGGCGGTTGGGGAGGGTTCTTCCGGAAGGTTCGGGAGGCTTCTGGAAAAGGCGCCGCGCGCTGGGCGGGCTCGCCTCTATATAAGGGAGGCGCGGGGACGGCGCGCCAGTTGCTTGTACGTCCTGGTGTTGCGTCCCTCCGGAGCTTTTGCGGTCCTTTAGCCGAGGTGAGGGGGCGGCGGCGGGG